ATTGAGTATATTTACTATATATTGCAATAATTTACTCTGTATTTTGCCAGACTGGTAATCCTGGGATCGTGATGATGGGGCCCTTGAATATTGTTGCCCAGGGTACAGCCAAGTGTTAATCCAGCCCTGCAGTCATGACAGACTCATGATTTTGGGTGGGGGTGGGCAAAATGAGTATTTATTTCCCCACTTTTTCCCCCTCTGAAATTTACAGTTCACACATTAACTTCACATTTGGTCAAATAAAAACAACAAAACTTTTTCCCCCTGTTTAATGAATAAAAACAACAAACCTCTAACTCTAAACAGACCCTCTTCTTTCAGCTTATCTGCTAACTTTAACTGCCATCTTTAGCATTTATTTTGTCTTTATTGTCTTAAATTCTAGTTTAAGATTCATTCTGATAATACAGGAGAAACCTCACTCATCCTGTCTGGATGTGTTCTGTGTCACTCCTATTGATAATGTGGGTTTCATCTGCATCCAGAGGAAACACGACAAGTTAAATGTTTTTAAAACAGATTACAGATTTTTAATTCTTTACTTCTTCTTGTTTCAGACCGGCTGCAGTCCAGCCTCTGCCTTTGCATCTTTTAGCAAGCAGCCGTCCTCTCCACCTAAACCAGAGGAGACGACCCAGAGTTCATCTGGACCAATCCAAAGCATTCCTGACACTCTGCTATCTAACAGTCCCACCTTACCTCGGTCTGCCTCGCCAGCCTCGTACAGTTCACCTGTCAGTCCTCTAGAGGGCGATACGCTCATCCCGTGTGAGTTCTGTGGCGTGGCTCTGGAGGAGTCTGTTGTCTTCCATCATCAGGTAAGTGGGTCAGTCGGGTAATGAGGTCAGTCCAAACCTGACTCATCACAGTAACTGTGAGGTACTGAATCAAACTGCCTGTATATTTTGAAAAATGTGGCATCACTTTTCTGATTTACTTAARTCCTTCATGTGCAAGATGTTTTTTTATACATCCTGTTGTTTGCATATTGATTTATTTTTTTATCTAGGACAAATGTGACATGCACCCAGAGACTGCCCACCAGCTGAATAACAGTGCACCTATCAAAGAAAGTCCTGCAAATAACACCTTTGGACAAATGGCTCCAGATTTTCAGAGAAGAATGAAGCACCAAGGTAAAACKTGATACTTAGTGTTAATAGTGTTAATATAAAATATATAGAGGTTATGGCGTGTTGTCTGATTAGTCATTGTGTTTTGTACTTGTATACATTATGGTTTGTGAAGTTTTGATAAATTCTCTTCATGCAGCTTTACCATAACTTTAGATTTGAGAAGTCCATTTTTTTAACTTCAACATTTCAAATGCGTCCATATTTGTAAAATTATTAAACAACATGAAATCCACAATGATGAAGCTTATTTTRCAAAAAAAAAWAAAAAARGGGGGAAATGTGTCAAAACAAATATTGCAGGAATTTTGTTCCATTACTTTTGATCCTGTGTTAAACACTTACAGTTCATGTTTATATAGTCATATAGTTTAGTTGTGTTAAAGTTACATTTTATTTTTATTCTGGTTTATATTATTTCCATTATAAATTATTTTATGTGATCTTTTTATAGCTGACGTTCTGGAGGAAGATTTCGAGTCTTTCAGGACCACAACACCCAGACACGGCTTTGAAGCCTGGGACAGGGACTTTGGGCTTCCAGATTTAAAGACGAAGCTGGGTGGTGATGCATCGTCAAGACCCAGAGCTCAGCAGGACAGGGAACCAGTAGGAGCTCCTTTCTTTTTCTGTGACACGGAGATGCCAGGGTCTGCGTCGCTAAAAGGGTAAAAAAAAAAAAAAAGATCACATCAAAGGGAAATGTTTAATAATCCACTTGTTGTTTAGGCTCTACCTCTTTTTTATCTTTTATTTTTGTAAAGATTTGTGCTGTGATTTGTTTTCCCACTAGACCACATATTGCAGAAAATGAAGAAGAAAGAGGGACCAACAGAACTCCATTGCCAAAGGTTTATTTAATTTTTCAGTTCTTTATAGACAAGATGTTTTTGTCTTATTTTGTTTGAACCTGAAGTGGAGCATTTCCAAGCTTTAAAATTAACAGTGTAATGCAGGAAATCCTTTAAAAATTAAACTAGAGAGCACATTTGTGCTTTATTAAACGCTTTATATATTTTATATATATACACTGCTCAAAAAAATAAAGGGAACACTTAAACAACGCACGCTAACTCCCGATCTTAATCAATGAAATATTCGCATTGAGTACTTTGTTCTGTACMGAGTTGAATGTGCTTCACAAAAGTTTGATTTACTTGGACTTCGCGTGCGTTGTTTAAGTGTTCCCTTTATTTTTTGAGCAGTGTATGTATGTATGTATGTATGTATATATATATAAGCGATAACTTGACATTTTATTAACCAAATCTGTGTTTATCAGTTTTTTTTTTGTATTTCTGATTGTAAAATAATTTTTTTTGTAGTTACCCAAGAAGCAGAATGAAGACAAGCAGGAAGACTGAGAGCCAGATCCTCAATAAAAAAAATCTTCCATCTCTACTTTTTATGGATATTTGCACATTTTTAAGGAATTCTACAAACAAGTGCCTGTGGGAAATTTAATATTTTGCTGTTTATATTCTGGAAAGTGTTACTTTTACCATCTAAATAAGATTTTATTAAAACACATTGGGCTTGATTTAAAGGCTCAGTCCCATCTGAACTGATTACAAGATGAATTGTATTTGTTTGTTTTAAAAAAAAAAAGTGAAAATTGATGAAAGTACTAAAATATTGAATTAATTTCAGGTAATTCTTACCTTATTGATGTCGTAGGCATTTTGTTTTTGTTCTTGTGTGTGAGTTCCTTCAGGTTATTTCTTTGTCCCTTTTTAGATTTTTTTGCTTTATTTCACAAAAATGACTGCTAGAATGCTTTGTTAAAAAGGGCTTAAAAATGGATTTGACCAAGAAAAACATGTTTTGAAACTTATGCTTTTGTAATTTTAAACAGTTATTTGTTCATAATAATTTTCTGTTACAATGTAGTATAGTTTTTGTTCTTTCCTGGAACCTATAGTTTGTTTTTGTGTTTAATGAATGAAATTGAGGTGACGATAAGGCCAAGTGTCTCCTGTGGCGTACTTTAAGATGAATTTAAAGTTTAGTTTGGTAAATCAAAATTTGTAACACGTTAAAATGCAGATAGTTGAGTTTAAAACTTTTTTTCCTGCAGCTGAACTGTGAGAAAACTTGTTTTTGTTTGCATTAGGGTACACAGTTGAGTCTTTTTCTGTTGAAGAACAACTGATGTAGTGTTTTTTTTTTTCGTGTGTTAATTAAAAGTTTGAATGATGATATTTATAGTTTTGGTTTATTCTTTTCAGGCTTTATGTTTTAGTATCACCCCAGGATTTTCAGTGGCTCCAAATGGCCACCTTATTAAAGGAGATACAGTATATCATGCTTTTAATGAATTCAGACCTTATTTGGCAATTCCATCCCAAACTCTGTGCAGAACTAATAGTTCTGAAAATGTCATGAAAAACTGAGATAACTAAACAGGTTTTAAAATATGACCAAAACATAATATAAAAATATTTATGCAGCACTGGTAGAGACTAAATTCTAATTTTCTAGAGACTCCAAAATATATTTAACAGCTAAAAAAAAAAGTTTATTTTTCCTGATATCCACTTTAAAGGTTTACAAATGGGATCAGGTGGATGCTGTTTAGGGCACGAATCGTCTTCCATACCTGGACGCTTCCACACAGCGGCGCGCTCAGAATGTACACCGGGTCAAGCCGCCGAGGGGCGGAGCTTCAACTTTCAGTGGGAATTCTCAGTTCAAAAAGCTGCCAACGTCTCCTGTGAGCGTTGAGCTCGTTTCAGCTTTTTACTTTGAGACCCTGAAGACCACTGAGAAACATGCTCTCTACCTGTGGGACTCGACATTAAAAACGCTTTCTATCTCAGCCAAAGAAGTTGGAGGACAAAAAAAAAAAAAGGAGACTGTTAATAATAAACGACTCGTGCAGGTGGTGTTGACCGCGAGACTCCCACCACTCATCCATCCCAGAACCTCACCTGAGCCCGACGAGGCAGCTAAACATGTCCCTGGAGAGTTACTCAGCGCTGGACGAGCCCTCTCTCCGAGCTTTGGTGAGTGAATGAATGAAGACACTTTATTGTACTTTAGTGTAAAACTTATTCAGTCGCAAGGCGTCGGTCTAAAGCTAACCCTAAACGTGTTAATTCACCTATAAAAGTGATAAAGTTATAGAGAATTCTGGGTAATTTACAACCACGTGTGTTTAATTTATAGCCAAAATATAATTTTCAGAGGAAAAATGGCACTTTGATTACCTTTCTGGTGACTTCTCCTTTAATCAACTTACCTGAGAGACGTGAGGATGTGCAGAGCTTTAAGGATAATCCTGATGGATGACACATACATACACACACACACATACATACATACATACACACACACACATACATACATACATACACACACACACATACATACATACATACATACACATACATACATACATACATATACATACACACACACACACACACACACATACATACATATACATACACATACATACATATACACACACACACACGTTTGTTTCTCGACCCTGTGGGGACCTTCCATTGACTTTCATTCATGTTTTTTAGACTTTATATCCTAACCCTGACCATATACTCTAAAATTAACCTCACAGAAACTTACCTGACCCTAAAACTAACCTAAACCTTGGTCCTAAACCTAACCCCACACCTGTAACATGCATTTGGACCCGTGGGGACCTGACTGGTCCCCACGATTCACTTCAGTCCCCATCTGGCTGCTTTTTTTGTAAAAAATACCCCATGTTGTAGGAAAAACCCGTACACACACACACACAGAGCTTTATTTACTGTCTGCTCAGTAAATCTGTAGTCTCTCAATACAAAAAGGTGTAATTCATTCCCACTATGAGGGGATGAATTGTAAGCAGTGTTTTACCTTGGACAATTTTTACTCTGTATCACTTTCATTGTGCCAAACAGAAGTTCAAAAATATCTCATAGTTGTTACATGTTAACATTAGAAATAGTTAAGTGTTTTCGCGGAAGCGTTTGGACAGCAGAAAATCATCTTGGTGTCAGGAAGTCTGAAAATTGTCACACTTACAGCCTRTTAGTCACATTAGTCATGTCCTGAGGTGGAAGACTTGCACATAAAATCACAACACCTGCAGCCCAGACACATGCTCAATAATCCATGAGTCATCCTGTCTTCATTCAGACGCTGAGAGCTGTGTGGCTTTACTCACAGTTACACAAACTCCATTCATTCTCATGAAAACGTGTGGGTTTTTCTTTGTTTTATTCATTTTTATCGGTTAATCTTGTGTGAAAAACACACCTTACACTCACACTGTAGAGCATTAAGCTGGGATCACTGCAAAAAGAAAAAAAAACTATCTTTTGTTTCCTTTTATTTGTGAAAAGGTTGGGAACAATTCACATCTTACCTGTTGCAGATCGCTCAATGGACCACCTCAGTTTGAATATAAAGAGTTTTATTTAACAGGAACGATGAGCTAATWGGTGGTCCGGGTGGGAACAAAACCAAAGTGGATTACTGCCGTCTTAAAACAACATACATTTATCATGGCATGCGGTGGGACTCGGTGCAGCTCGTGATTTGATTGAATTCAAAGGGACTACGATGTGATTATAAAATGATTAATGATGCACTCTTGCACACAACATGGTTTCAACGACTGAATGTGTCCTTCACAATAAAAGTTGCGAAGGACATGGTAATTTTTGCAGAATMATGCTCACAACTTGTAAATAGCGCAGCTCTTAAACACAATTTTATCCTTCAGCTCCAATCAAAGCCAACCACTTCCAAACACTCTGTTTTAATGCAGGAGATGCCATTTAGAGTCTTTAATTTTACAACATGAGGTCATTCACTGAGTTGTCTACAACAGATCTGATGTAATAGTTAATAATTTTTCCCCAGAACATGACTTCAAAAGATCTGAACTATCCCTTTTTAAAAGCACAAGTTTGATCCAGCAGCACTTATTTTAACCACTGTACTCGTTTTCTCTGTTTTATATAAAAGCTGCACTTTAAAACAAAAAGTGGTCTCGTTAAAACCGTTTGAATTAATCTCTTTAAAGATCAATAAAGCCAACAATAGCTGGTTTATTTTGGATCCAGACATGGTAGAAATGTGATGTTTAGTTGACCCTCGTGACACTATTTTAAACTGCATTTACTACTTCCCTAAAGTGTGGGATCTTCTGCCTTCTGGGTTTTTTTTTTTTTGGTTGTTTTTTTTTCTCATAAATCACAGAAAGGACAAACATTTACGAGTGGCAGAGCGTTGTTTTTCCATCAGGACTGGGGTTTGTTTTTCCTTGAATAGTTGGTTTATCAGTCGGTTTGAGGAGCAGAGCAGGAAAGAAGGAGTTAAACTAAAAGAGGAACACCTAATGGGTGTTTTTGCTGGGGAAGAATGTGAACATCTTGTTTTTTTTTTAAACCCACCTTGGGGATTTTTCAGTCTCCATCATCTCAGAGAAAATGTCTGATTTGCAACCCTGCAGTAAAATGCATCCTTTGTCTGCCAGCTGCTGCAGAATAAAACACATAAGTAGGTGCAGACCCCGGAATTCAGGTATTTTATCTTTACGTGCCTCCCCATTGTTCCCCCTGCGTTACTGAGCAGGACTGGAGAAACGACCCCTCCGTCCTCGCCGAGGGAGCTCTAAGGTCACACAGATCCCACACATTCACTGATGGTGTTTGCAGTGACTCGAGTGTCACAGTTTTCCACTGTGAACTTTCAGAAAGGAAACAAAGAGGACTTTACACGAGACTGGGATGAAGTTAAACTCAGACGGGGAGTCTTGAATTAGGTGAGGAAGCTCTGCGTTGTGTGGTGTTCTCTTGTTTTCAGGACCCTGGTAAAAGCTGAAGGAGGTTTTTGAGAGGCCGGTCGTAAAACCGCGGGCGGAGGAGCTGCTGTTAAACAACAGTTGGGCAACGAACACAAACTGTGGTCCTTGTGTTGCTCTTAATGAACTTAACAGTCAGGAGGTCATATGGCGGCCTCTCTAACTCGGCTAATCCCATCCCTGCTCTTCTATTCAGAGCCCCAACACCCTTTTATTTTGCCTATTTAATCCCCTCCCTGGCAACCAGGACAAGCATTTTTCTGCTCTCCTGACAGTTATTTATACATTCACAGCAATAATTAGATGCAGTTCCAGTCTCTTTGTTTCGAAGGAGGGGGAGTTCTGTTTGATTCTGCCCGGGGCAGATGGAGCGGGGCTCTAACGACTTGAACCTCAGTCAACACGCAGATGAGATGATTAAGAGTTTGTAAGGTTATCTGTTGAGTCTGCGTCAGACCTGCTGGACCGGTTGGGTCTACAGGTGTCTGTTGGCTGCGGGACAGGTGCTTCAGCCTACTTAAACCAGAATAAGACTCGACTGTGGCGCCGAAGATGGAGCAAAGAAGAGGTCAAATATAACCTATYTGCATTGCTTTCATGCACAACTTTTTGTTTGTTTTTTACGTAACTGTGTTCCTCTAATGCACGTGTCAAAAGGCCCGCGGGCCAAACTTTAAATTTATGATTAAATGCAACAAAATAAATTTAATGAAAATAAAAGAAATAAAATTTAATTTAATAAATTCTTGTCCCTGAGCTGTTGGCTTTAAATAACTGAGCAATTTAGTTGGATAGCACAGTATTAATGCCTGAAAATAAGCTGCTTTAAAGTCAACATCAACCTTAATCTAAATCTGCTTTTATTTTTAATAATATTTCTGTATTTATTTCAGATTTCGTCAGTCATACACTTAGTTCTTATCAGTGTTTAAAAGAGGACGTGTTAAAACACTGTTTAGTCAAAGTTAAACATGAAACATCAAAGGTAACTACATCTGGCCCTTCGAGGGCCACCATAACCCTCATGTGGCCCTCGGTGAAAATGAGTTTGACACCCCTGCTCTAACGTGTGTGACCCCATGGCTATCCTTCTCCCCGGTGAGCAACAGGCATTCACACGTTATTAACAGACCACTTTTCACTCTGAGGTCCAGCCTCGCTGATAAATGGGAGCCCCCGGGCTTTTATTTGATGACTCTCCAAACTCCTATTGTGCATCGACAAGASCTCGACCGTTACGGTCTGAGAGGGAGACCGGGTTCACTTTTGTGGGAGTTTGGATCCAGCTTAGCTTGGAGCAAAATGATGGAATAAATCAGAACAATTCTAGTGAATTACATAATTCCTATCTGAAACATGTTCCAATACGAAAGCAGTGTATTTAGTGTCGATAGTTTTTTTTTAAATAATTTTTTTTTACTTGATGTTAATTCTCCTTTAAATGCTCCCATCTTAGTTTTTTCCTAATTTTAAATGTAATATTTTTAAACGTCCACAAAAAGAAAACGAAGGAGTCGACTTTTATCAGCTTCACTTTCAGGGCAGATATACTGTATTTCATTAAACTGACATTTGAGGGTTTTATCTACACTACTGCAGCCTGAAGATTTCAGCCTCTCTGTCAGCAAAAACCTAAATAAATAACCCGTCAGCAGAAAGATAAGGAGCTCCATGTTTATTTATATAAAGGAAAACTTTTATTTCCGGATTCTGCAATAAATAGATGTTTGTATTTTGCCTCTGAATAGGAACGTGAAAAGTAAAGCCGTGGATTTGTGACAAATGTAAAGAATTATTCATTGRCATTAACCAGACTTTAGATTGATTTGATGAAAGCTGCAAGAAAACGGCTATTTAGACACAAAACATTTAAAACTTTTAATGTGATAAGTACTATTTTGTTAAATATGCAATGTTTTATCATCCAGATCCTGTAAAATCAGCAGAAGAGGTTGATGGTGGCAGTCAGGTTTTGTGTTAACACTATAATTGTGCTTTTTTTTATTTAAGTGCGTAAAACACACACTCAGTCATAAAACTGTCATAAAAGAAGTCGTTTGCAGTATTTTCTTAATTACAGTTGAATAAAAGTGAATTTTCCTAAAACATCAGACACGTCAAAATTCTTGGTTTCACCACCTTCCAGCCATCTTTCAAGATGTGAYGTAATTACCACACCAAGAAAGA